CCCTCTCTCTCTATTTCTTTCTCTCTCTCACACTCATAACAATAAATAGAACAAAACTCTCTCTCTCTCTCTCTCCCCCCCTTGTGTTAGCTTTTAGTCTCATTGATTTGGCTACCTTAGCGCTGCGTTCCCTGCGCCCACGCGGTAGACAATATTGGAATACAAGAGTTTTTTCTTTTCGAAATCCGAATAGAAAGGGTACAAGTTGCATTCGAATACAACGCGTACAATTTCTATTCGGCACTCTGCCATTCGAGAAAAGTGCACCCTCACCGTTTCATTTCGAAAAAGGACCACGGCCTCCTCGGCCTTCTACGGGCAGCTACCGGTCCTACGGGGTCCTGGCCCTTGCAAGGCTCCAAAACCTCAAAATGCCCACCCTCTCGACGACCACGACTTCGAAACTTGATTGACGTTGAAATGTCTCAGGGGGGGAAAACGCAACCCTGACGGGCTGCAAACTGACAGGTTCAACCGGCCAAGAGTTGCAAGGGCCTGTGGCTGTGGCCAGGGCAAAAACGGAGCAGAAGCTTTCTATTCGAATACAACACGTTCTCTTTTATGGCAAATCGAATAGAACGCACGTGCTTTTTATTGGAATACAGCACAAACTCGAAACAACGCATATGCGTTATGGCCGGCGGAAGACGTTCGCGGGAAGAGCCCCCGGTGCTGATATATTTGAGAAAACAAAATAAAAGAAATCCTTCGAGTGAGAGTGCGGCGTGCGCGCTCGCGTCTGTACTGCTACATGCAATAGCTGAGCCGAAACGGTCACGCAGTAAGCGGCCGAGCGGCGGTGAGCTACTCAGTGATTGCTCTATCGGTGTCTTTGGCGATATGTAGAATGCTGCTGCCGGATATACTTTCCCTGGAGTTTCTTGCCGGCTGCTGTTCCCCTGTGTCTCGACGATTGGGCATGGGAGTATCGCTGTAATCGCAAAGCCACACAGAAGGCAATGGATTGACGGATCCTTATTATACTGTTCTTTTCCTGCCGCTTCTTCTCCAATTGTGGAGAATTCCTGTCGACTGCCGAAAGCTAGCTCATAGACTGAAGTTATTCTGACGGGGTGAAGGTCATGGCGCAAGCGATCGGACCGGTGGGTGGCCTTTATGGGCAGGTTGACCGATCCACACTGTTCGCAGTACTCGAGCCGTCAGAGAATGGCAGAGGCCACTGTCGTACTGAAGTATGCGCGCGCTATCATCTCTTCTTCTCCTCCGCCGCCGCTAAGGCCTCCTCCTCTTCGCTGGTGACCATCTCTGCAAGCACTGTCTCGTCTCTTACTGGTGGTGACACTCGTGGTGCCGTAAGCAAAGGAAAGCTTGGGTCAGCGCATGCGGCGCTGGCATATTATTCGCATCATCAGGCTGTTCGGAATATTGATCACGACTCCTGCACGTGCTGCTTGGGAGTGTTTACCGAATTTTGCGCTCGCTGTTGCCGCCATCCCTTTCATTATGGAGGGCGGAGGGCAGTTGGCTGCAGTAACTACGAAGTGTCCGTCAACCCGCTCTCCTCAAATTGGCGCCATGCCAATGGCGGCGCGCGGGAAATCGGCCTATTAAGGAGTAATGAAAGGCCTGGGCTGAAGAGTGCCAATAGGGATCATCGGTCATCAAAGACGCAGGAAATCGTGAGTTCTGGTGATCTGGAGCCTGAGGAAATCGCCTGGGACAAAAGCCTTGCCAATAGCGTGCATCTGATTGGTCGGGCTGGGCATGACGTGGATATCAAGTATCTGGACACGGGGAAGATCGTGGCTAATCTACGGCTGGCAGTGAAGCGACTGGGCGCGCCTGGTCAGAATCCGGAACCGGATTGGGTGGTGTTGGAGCTTTGGGGTGATTTGGCAGAAACGGCCGCTAATTTCGTTCAGAAGGGTCGCGTCATCTATGTCAGCGGGAGGTTGGCGGTCGACACGTGGACGGACAGAGACACAGGGAAGAAGCAGTATGCCACGAAAGTGGTTGTCAGCGCTCTGAAGTTCATAGCAGCCTCTTCGGATTCCACGTCGAGAGAAGATGGAGTAAGACGAAGCTCAGGAATGATGGGTGGTACAAGAACGCTGATGCCGAGTTCTCCTATGTCGGAAGCAGGAGCGGGAGCTGGTTATTCGTCCCTGTCGTCGTTGCCGCTCTCCTCTCCCTCTTCGGTATCGTCCCCGGCCAAGTCTGGCAGTCGCTGGCAAGGAGGGGGTTGGTCCTCTGCCTCTCCTTCTTCCCCTTCCCCTTCTGTGAGCGCGTCCTCTTCTTCCACCTCGACTTGGTCGGCCATGGCTTCCGCTCAGGAGCAGCAGTGGAAAACGTTTTTCGCCGATCCTGACTCGTGGTGGGACAATCGGATTGGCAAGAGGAACCCTCGAGCTCCTGACTTCAAGCACAAAGAGACGAAGCAAAGCTTGTGGTTGGGAGGTAGAGGTACCCCTGCTTGGGTAGCAGATCGAGTAGCGGCGTGGGATAGAGCGAAAGAAGATGCAAGCGTTGCCAATAGGGAAGCAGGAGTTGCGGCAGGTGGGGGATTGTACAAAGAGTTGCACGAAACGGAAGTCGCAGATGGCAGGGAAGGAGTGGAGGAAGAAGATGGCGATGACGACGAGTTGCCTTCTTCGGAGGATGAAGGTTTACTGGGCGGCGGCATGAGGAAGTGGGAGAGAAAGATGGAATACAACGCTGTCAGCAACGGTGGTCCGCTTGTGGAAAGGGGAAGAGGTCATGGGCTCTTCAGCGATCAGGACTTCGACGACATTGCTTTTTGATTTTGACGTGTGCCGTTCCACCATGACTTTGTTTCTCTCTCTCTCTCTCTCTCTCTATTTTCTCTCTCCCTCTCAGCTCCCCCATTTTCCGGACTCGTCATCACCATCCATCTTTCTCTCTGAGGCCATATTATTGCCCTGCCTTGAACAGCTGGAGTTGAGGATGAGGAGGGGCGCAGGGAAGTGTGCCGTGTTGGAGGCTTAGGAACGGAGATGACGCGGGGCTTTCTTCATCCTTCGTCCTGAAGAACCTTTTGCCTGGTGTTGTTCGCTGTCGTCATTTCTAAAATGAATGGGTGCCGGAGAGCGAGTGAACAGCAAAGTTTGCGGTGAGCCGAAGGTAAGCAAAACGCGCCGATGAAGAAGTTCAATAATCATTGTTTTTGCGCTCTGTTGCATCTGTCACCCGGTTTTGTCGAATGGGAACTGTTGGGCTGCCGGTCACGTGCTTGGTCTTGTGTTTGTGGGCTGTTTGGGTGATTGTACAGAGGCTCGGCGGCCACCGAAGCTTCGGATGTTATTCTCTTCGTGTGTGGCTTGCTTCGACCGATGGGCGAAGGGAGGGAGTTAGAAGGGAACGGGAGGAGGCGACTGATGGTGATGTGGGAGGAGGGAGTCGAGGGGAGAGGTGTGAGGAGGTCCCGTATTCCTCTGTTCTCAGATGTAGAAGAGCACGGACGGACGGACGTGGGAGAGAGGAAGGAGCATTGGGAGGGGGAAGAGTAGGCAACGACAGGGGGAGCAAGGAAGAGAAGACGGTACGTAGTGAAAGACATGGTGGGACCTTAGATGTTCGTGGATGGATAGAAACCCGGCGCTAGTGGAGGCAGGAGGGAGGGGGAGGATAGAGGAGGTATGGAGTGAAACGGAGCAAGCAGGAATGAAGAGGTACGGGGAGAATGAAACCAGAGAGGGAGAGGATAGAGGGAGGGAGTGGGAATGGAGGGCAAGAGGAGAGGTAGAGATGGGGAGGAGGGGAAAATTCGATGGATGGAGTACAGAGACGGAGAGGACCAGCCATGTTCTTTTGAAGTACAGAGACGGAGAGGACGAGCCATGTTCTTTTGGAGTACAGAGACGGAGAGGACGAGCCATGTTCTTTTACAGGCCCTTCCTGGCAAGCTTTTCCCGAGAGGTCGGCAGGAAGCCAGGCAAAGACGTGATTGAACGCATAAGGAGAAAAGGGGAAGGATAAAAGGAAGGAATTAGGAGAGGGAGGTGGGGAGTGGGGGGAAACGAGTAGGCGTAGAGAAAGGAGGTGGTGAAGACGAATGAAGGCCTTATTGCTTTCTTGATCAGAAGAAAGAAGAGGTGAAAAAGACGGACCTTCGGAGGGGTTCTCGCGGCCTCCTAGACCTAAGAACCCTCTTCCTGGCTGTCTCGTCTTTCTCCCCAAGCCACTGACACCACAATCTGCGGACGAGGTAATGTGTAGGAGGAAGAGGGAGTGAGAGAGGCGGGCATGGGACGAGAGAGGAGAGAGAAGAAGTGAAGGCGATTGGCGGAATCTGGGATTGTGTCAGTTTGAGGAAGCACAAGTGCACCCGGAAGTTGTGTTTGATTTTTCCCCTTCCCCATTTCTCGTTCTCAGAATCCATTCTTCTTGCCTGTCTTGCCCCGTCCCCCACTGCCAGTGCGGCTGTATTTTCTAGAGGGTACTGGCAGTGCGGCTGTATATTCTAGAGGGTACTGGTTGGCTTACTGTAGCAGTTTAGTATTAGATAAATAGTGAAGCGAGTGCTCATCTTCGTCTTCCCCTCCCCTCGCCCCGGTTATTCACCCTCTGGCATATCGCGGTGTCCGGTCGACGCTGTGCTTACATATCTACTTGGTACATACTGGGAGTAGTGATGCTGGTGATGATCCGTTGTACAACATCCTTTTTCGATGTGGAATAGAAAAACGTTTTTGAAAGGAAATAGGAAAGTCAAAATGAAAAGAGTCCTGAAACTTCATTGGCCTTTCAGGTCCTTTGGATGGTCTTTTTCTCTCGAGTTGGCGGCGAAGGAGCGACGGAACTGTCTGTCCAGAGGCTGGGTTGACCGGTGGGCGAAAGAGCGATGAACAGTCTGTCCAGAGCCTGGGTTCACGAGTTGGAGTTCTGGAGAAAGAGCGCGATGTAACAATTAATCTGTCCAGAGCCCGGGTTCAGTCAGTAAGAGGGCGACAGCTTCTGCGATTGTTCGAGGATATTACTGTATTCCAGCGTCGGCCGCTCCTCAACCCCGGCCTTCTTGACCTTCGTTTTTGCCTTTCTGGGCGTCGGCACACCACTGTCGAAACGAAACAAGTACGACTGCATGTTCTCGCAATGAGTGGCCAGATGCATCCAGTACTATGAACATCTGATCACTTTTTGGGGAAGATCCACTCGTACTTTTCTCGTTTCGACAGTGGTGTGGGAGGCCCTCTCTCTTCTCCTGTCCATCGGTTACCCTTTAGCGCGCGAGTGACCTGCTCCCTGTCCGTCCTGCGTGCCGCTTCCGACCCCCTTTGCTTCATGCGCTTATCTGCAATGTTGGTGATGCTTCATGCCTGTGCTAGGCCTCTCTTCTCCACCGTCTCGTTGAAGTCCTCTTGCCTTCCAACCCCCTTTGCGTCCTGCGGTTACCCCCCATGTTTGTCATGCTTCAGCCTTGTCTTACTTGTCGTGTCCGCCTCGTTCTCTTGCTTCCCTGTGCAGAGTTCTTACCAACCACCCTCATTTTCTGCTTTCGACTTTTCTTCTCCTCTCCGTCTTCCTTTCAGCTCTCGCCCTCCTTGAACGACGATTCCTCCTGTGCACCGGCGCGCTAATCATCTCCATGGTCGTCGGTTCGCACCCATTTCGTCTGTTCGTTCTTTTGCTCCTCGTTGGCGAGTTCTCTTTCGGCTACGACCGATTACGGAGGAGACCGTATCCGTATTCCTCGTTTTTGTTTTTGTTTTTTTTCTTTTGTTGAACCACCACTACCTCCCAACCTGTTTTTGCCGACCCTGATTTTCACTGCGCACCGAGTTTGGCCGAGCCGGGGCAGTTTCATCGAAGAAAGAAGAAGGGGAAAAAAAAGAAAAAGAAAAAGAAAAAGAAAAAGAAAAAGAAAAAAAAGAGACTTCCCGAACGCCTTGATAAACCGCCAGATACATTCGTCCAAGCACTTGTGTGACTGTGCCCTCAGTGAGGGCGTGTATGGGAAAAAACAGAGAAGCAACAATAAAAAAGAAGGAATCCCTTTTCCTGTGATGAGGGCAGATACATGATGCTACAGCAGTGAGACAGTTACGTGCCACCCGTGAAACACGCCCTGCCTGGCTGGCAGGGCACTACAAGGATTTCAAAACAAAAAGAAAAAGAAAAACGACCTGCAATCCCTTTTCCGACATAGTGGCCAGATACATTCGTCCAAGCACTGGTATAACTTCCACCGTCGTGAGGGCCTTTCCGACATCCCTGGAGTGGGGACTCTTCGTTTTCTTTCTTTTTTGTTCTCTTTTTTCGTCGGCCTCCAACCCTGCCCCGAGCCCCGTGTTTTCTTTTTTTTTTTGGAAAGCATTTCAAATATATTGCACCAATACAAAGAGGCCGGGGACCTCACAATTCTACCCGGAGTTATCCTGGCAGCATCAGCCAGTTTCGCTTACGTGCCCAGCTCAAAAAGTTACCAGCTACTCAGAGTTTATCACTACTCCTGCAGGACATCGGGTCCCGTGTCCCCGTGCTAGATACAATGCTTCCCAAAGTAAACGTTGAAACCCATGTAAAAGGGGCTGCAATCACAGCCAGTAAGCCATCAAACACTCAGGAAGAAACTCTATCAACTTACAGGAAACCAAGTCCTGCATCCCCAAATCTGGGAAAATTCCTGAGAACTACACCATAAAACAACACCGCAAGTAGGCACAAACCACAGGAACTAACACATAGAGTCACAAATGTCTACTCTGCTAACTGGCTACCGTACCAAATTTGCCTATACCGGCCACAACATCCATCCAAGCCTAATTCGACTTAAAAGTTAACCAAGAGGGAAGAGTCAGAGAGCCTTTAGGGCCTGGCTTGACCAGACTGTGATTTTTTCCCCAGGACCTCCAAAACCAGGCCGTCTCCTTTTTGGCAGAACCGCCCTTAGCCTTCCGAAACCAGTCAGCCCAAATACACTGTCGAACTAGTGACCTGATGTGTAGCTTTAGTTGAACATCTTCACATCGTTCTTGCCGGAAGGCGTGGGCATTTCTCTCATGCCAGATTGTCATCATAATGGCAGCTCTGAAGGTCTGAGCCACATAGCAGGCTGCGTCATCATTCCTGTTCTGTACCGCCGGAATGCCAGATATGATAAACTCTTCCATCCAGTGGAAAGAGGACCAAGGAAGATTCGCCCAGTGTCTGCTCCACAAAGACCAGATTCGTTTGGAGTATGGACAATCCAACCAAAGATGATTAGTTTCCCATGCCCACTGACACCGAGGACAGGTTGTTGCTATGTCCATTCCTCTGCTCGACAGGAAGGTTGTTGTTGGAACAACCAGCATAGACTGTTGCCAGAGGAGACTGGCTAGTTTTTCTGAGGGAAGTTTCTTCAACAGCTGCCAGTGCTTCTCTTGTGTGGCCTTGTCGTAGTCTAAGAAGGCCAACTCCCGTCTGTATTTGCATACCACCTCATATGGAGACGAGGATGCACCCTCTTAGCAATCTGGTACCTATCTTAGAAGTGTAGCAATGCATGGGGATCACAGTTGTCTGATGTTGGCTTGTCACATTCCAAACCCACCGAGTGGGGTCCACCTTGAGGGCTGACAGTAGGGAGCCTCTGAATCTAACCCGGGGGTGAGCTGTCCCATTTTTATCTATGCTCATCTCTACTCTGCACTCCTCAAGGTCGGGAGGTTCCGAACATGACGTTTCCGAATCAAACCTAAGTGGTCGCTCTTCTGCCCAGTCAGGTTCTGTTGTCCAAGTCTGTAACAGCGGTTGGTTCCCATCCCCACTATTTATCAGTCTGAAGAAGGCACAGCCCCGTGTTTTCAGGAGTAGGCTACTAGATGGACTTTGCGTTTGCCTGGGAAAGGTAGTGGTGGTTTGAAAGAATCGAAGATTTATATTATCAATTTGGAAACAGCGGGCGGGAATACCTCACAAACAACCGCGAATAGACTTGGGGCACTACCCAGCTTAGCCTGTGCTGGAAACCGGGTCCAGCGCTGCTCTGTTCCTCACTCGAAGACAACTAAACCACCAGTACCTTTCCCGCGTGGGAAAATAGGGAAAACTGGCTATCCTGAAAATTCGGAGGCCAGGCCATCTGATCGGTGGCTGTCGTTTGGTTTGTCGTCGGGCCCGGCCTCCGAATTTTCAGGATAGCCAGTTTTCCCTATTTTCCCACGCGGGGAAGGTAGATGCTCAGGTAAAAAGAGGGGAGGGTGAGAAAGCACCCCGATTAACTTCCTCATGGTTTCCTTTCGTACTGCCATGTGTTTGATGCCAGCAGCTCAGAGCTGGTTGAACCTGATGTGTAGTCTATCCATGCGCATTCACCCACATACAATTTGATAGTCAGAAATCCTCACGTAGTCTTATCTATGCACAGTCACCTCTATCCATGCGCATTCACCCACATACAATTTGATAGTCAGAAATCCTCACGTAGTCTTATCTATGCACAGTCACCCACCTTTGATGATCGGACAGGTTATGGCACATTGCATGGCCCGCAAAGGATGTTCATCCAGTGGTCCATGGGCGACGTTGCCACAGTTCCCGAGCACTTCTGTTGGCGCCTCGCTCCACTACTCTCCACATTCGCAAAAGACGAAAAATCGGCGATGCGGAGGATTTATTCTCGTTTTGCACATTCGGAGAGTAGTGGAGCGAGGCCCTTGGTGTGCTTTGGGTCGCTGCAGCAGTAGATGTTTGGTGGGAGGAGTTCGCCAGCCAACGAATTGGTGAGCCACAGGGCCTCGCTCCACTGCTCTCCAAGTGTGCAAAATGAGACAATCTCTTCCCCTAGGACGTGGAAAGATGCGTTGTGAGGAAGACGGAAGGAGGCCCTGGCACCGGCCGGCGCTAAGCGCTCAGCCTCTGCGTTACCGGATCCGACGGAATCTGAGTCAACGCCCAGGAAGCTACCATCAATGATAGCTCCCTCGTTCCTTGCACCATCGTTCGCATTGAGGGGTGGATGTGGTGGACTGGTCCAACCATAGGTGACAAGGAAAGGTGGGGGATACCCTCCTCCCTCACGAGTTTCAGAGAGCGTAAGATCGTGTGCACTGTACAGGACGAAGGAGGCAGAGGTAACTTAGGGTTAGAACAAGAAGCAAACAAACGACACAGTAGGGAGTAATAGATGGAAGACGAAGCAATGGAAGGAGAGGTAAGACAAGAAGGGACAGGCAGGTCCCCACCTCCAGGGCCGCTCGAGGAGAGAAAATACCGGGAGGATGAAGATCGAATTAGGGATCTGCTGGCGCTCTGCTTCGATAATGGGATCCATCCCACGGACATTGATCCGGGGTAAATGAAGATTGAACGGAGGGAAGTGCACTTTAAATTAAATACATCTTGACAATGTAAAGGTGAAGTGATGATTGAAGGGAGGGAAGTGAACTTTGAATTAAATACATCTTAACGATATAAAGGTGAAGTGGTTAAAAGAACGAACAGTAACAGTGGTCTACAAGGATGCCGCTCGTTTTCTGCCGAAGAACATCAAGGACGACCTAGTCAGATCCTTCGAAGATGGTTGGATCTTGGGAAAAGCAATTTTCTGAGAATACAAGGAGAGGGAGGGTCCAAGGCCCAAGCCTGGTGTCCTATGTGGCAAAATCTCCGAAGGTTGCACAATACATGATTAATGAAGGAAGTATGACGATACCGCTGGGGACGAAGGAATACGAAGTTCTCTTTAAGCCTTGGATGGCACGAGCCGAATTTCGTGAAATGAGATGCCAGGAGGATTAAAATACCTTCTGGGTCATTGCGGTGCAAGTTCCTGTAGACGACATGCCGCACAAATAGAGAGGGCGATTGGACCAATCATACGTGCTTATCCAGCGGACGCTGACCCGCAGCTACCAGCATTAGTCAATGCGAAGTTTGACCTAGACTCGGCTGCACGGTCGAATATGAAGAATAAAATATGGATTGAGACTGCGTCGGGGGATAAAATGGAGACCGGATTGGCCACGTTGGACACAATGGAGTGCACCAAGTGCAGGCAGTACTTTCATACGGAGGACTGTCGACGAGGCCGAAGACGTCAGAGTCGAGCTCCGTCGAATGAGAACCAGGGAAGAAGATCTGAAGACGTCAACAAACATCGGAAGGACCCAGGCAAGAGGAACCGAGACGGAGGTACCAAGGGCCTTTGGAACCAAGACTCTCAGCACAAGGAACGCAGCCGGCAGCAAGTCATGCATCTTCAATCAGGAATAGTCCAGGGAAGAAGATCTGCAAGTCGGCAACAAACATTGGAAGGACCCAGGCAAGAGGAACCGAGACGGAGGTACCAAGGGCATTTGGAACCAAGACTCTCAGCACAAGGAATGCAGCCGGCAGCAAGTCATGCATCCATTCGGAGCGGTAGGTCAAGGAGCTACCGACCCAGGATTCGGCCCCAGATGGGACCACTGGGGATTATCCCACAAGGTGTAGGAGGCGAGCTCAGCACGGGACAAGGCGGAATGCATCCACAAGACTTTGAAGCAGCCAGGAACTATTATTATTGGGCAGCCATGGCGATTGTGAACAGAAGCTTCGTGAATCCTACAGGGAGCTTGCCTCAACAGGTGCAAGCCCCCAGAGGTCAACCTGGTCCGCAAGGAGGAGGAGCACACTTGTTCGGGCAACAAGGTGGAGGTGTACAAGAAGTCAGGCAGGGGCACAGACAGGAGGCTCGTCAGGAAGAGAGACGAAGGGTCACTGCTACACCTACCTCGTCACGCCCCATCCGACAGGGCTATGGAAGGTGGTTCACCAACTCGAGGACAGGACCGGACCAAGGGCAAAAGAACACCTCGAGTCGCTCGCGGGGGCTGTCAGCCGGAAAGCAACGTCGATTAAGCTTCTCGGGGCAGGACCTGCAGCCAGAACAATCGAGGCTCTCAAGAAGTGACTCGGATTGATCAATCAGCCATGAAGTAGGCATAGTCACACCAGGCAACAAAACGGCCAGAGATAGAAGATTGGCATCGTTGGCGAGAGGAGCCACGGTGGATATGCCTCAGTACGTAGTGCCGTTACTGTGTACTGCAGCAAGAAACAGTCTGTGGGTGGTTACGTGGCAACGTGGGAAGGGGCCACAACTGCTGTTCGGACAACAGGTGCTGGACATGCTGAATCTAACATCAGTGGATGAAGCGGTGAGAACGCTTTATCTGGGATACTTCCCCACGATGGTGATCCTGGATATCCCGATGGCTAGGATTATCCAAGGCCCAAACGGGAGTGAAGTAAAACTGTTCGTCCCAATAATTGATGCAGGGTTGTTGGAAGCAAAACTGGCAGAGATGGAGCCCCTCGGGCTACACCTGGTACCGCTTGCAGTGTTCGCTCTCGCACACACGCGATCGACACCCGGTTCTCGCGCAACCATGACTTGAACCTGCACCGTTTATGTCTGCCACTAGACTAGTATCGTCGAATCCCTGCAGCTTACACGAGGCGATCCTTTTACTTGCGCTTGGATTTGGGACGTCGACGTGCCTTTCTGTGGCCAATTCTGGGACAGCTTGTTCTTCAGGAACTGTGAATCTAATTTCCTGTCTTTCGGATATCTTATCTTCAGTTCCATCAGGCAGTCCGCTGTCAGCATGAGAGGATGACAGCGGACTGCCTGATGGAACTGAAGATAAGATATCCGAAAGACAGGAAATTAGATTCACAGTTCCTGAAGAACATGCTGTCCCAGAAGGGCTGTCTCTTATACACATCTAGATGTGTATAAGAGACAGGTGTACAGCGGACTGCCTGATGGAACTGAAGATAAGATATCCGAAAGACAGGAAATTAGATTCACAGTTCCTGAAGAACATGCTGTCCCAGAATTGGCCGCAGGAAGGCATGTCGACGTCCCAAATCCAAGCGCAAGTAAAAGGATCGCCTCGTGTAAGCTGCAGGGATTTGACGATACTAGTCTAGTGGCAGAAATAAACGGTGCAGGCTCAAGTCATGGTTGCGCGAGAAATGGGTGTCGATCGCGTGCGTGCAAGAAACTAAGTTAAATTGCGAGAAAATCAGTCAATTAGGAGCGTGGTGGGACGCCCCTCAGATATGGGCAGCTGCACAAGGAACGAAGAGGGGAGTTGGGATACTAGTGCACCGAGATTCGGAAGCGGAGATAATGGACGTCTTTGTGGATCTCTGGGGGAGATGGGCATGGATAGTGCTGAAAATAGGTGGCATTCTGTGGGCAATAGTGTCAGTGTACGCACTGGTGGATAGACAGTTGAGAACCCGATTCTTCGGGGAACTACAGGTGGTTCTGCCAGATGCAGAAAACATGACTATAGCAGGAGATTGATATCCGAAAGACAGGAAATTAGATTCACAGTTCCTCAAGAACATGCTGTCCCAGAATTGGCCACAGGAAGGCACGTCGACGTCCCAAATCCAATCGCAAGTAAAAGGATCGCCTCGTGTACGCTGCAGGGATTCGGCGAAACGAGTCCCTCAAGTCCCAGTCCGTAACAGCTCCGCTACGTCTCTCGTGCAGCCCCCCTCATTAGATGGGATTGCGTCTAAGGATGCATTCCAATCTCCATGCTGACGAGTTTTGCTTGTGGCGACCAAAAAATTCTGCAAGGCTGGGGCCGTGTACTAGCGGTTTAAACCACCAGTACCTTTCTCAGCTATCAAGTCCGACCCTGGAGCTACCGGTAAGCTGAGCCTTGTCGAGCCCAGAGCTACCGGTAGCACCTGCGCTTGTTTTTTTTCCAAATAAGAAAAAAAAAGAGTAAAACCAAAAAAAAGAAAGATTCTACTAAAAAAAAGGAAAAACTAAAAATGCAGAAACAACATGAGAGAGAGAGAGAGAGAGAGAGAGAGAGAGAGAAGGGAATGAATCTTCCCCTGTTTCACGGGGGATTCATTCCCGGTAAAAGAGGAAAAAGAGGAAAAACAAAAAAAGAAGGCATAGTTTGCAAAATACCCCACCCATAAGTTGAGATATATGCCAGAATGCCTCTAAAAGATGTGAATGGAGTGGAATGCCCATCTGATAATTTTTCTTTTTTGGTGAAATACCCCTGGCGTGGGTTGGACCTCCCATCTTTGCAGTATACCTCTCCCGGGCACCGTCCATCTTTGCAAAATGCCCCTGTACTTGCCAACTATTCCATGGCCCAATTGCAAAAGGCCAAGGCCCAAAAGGCAAGGTCCAGATTGCAAAGTTGCACACTGGCCTGATAAGATCATAACACAAAGATCTCAGCCCAAAAGGGTATTCTGCTCTACCCACATCTTTCAGGGGGCATTTTGGCACATATCTCAACTTCTGGGGGTATTTTGCAAATTACCCCAAAAAAGAAAGAGATTCTGCTTTAAAAAAGGAAAAACCAAAGGAATCTACCCAAAGCAAGAGACTATGTAAATGCAGTGGAAGACTGAATATACATCTGACACAGCAGTATCTGTATGGACAATGCAGACTCATAAATGCATCAAAGGGTGAGAAGGGGGCAGCGCAGCATACAAGGAAGGTGCGCTGTCCCCTGATCATCCTCAGACGTAGGAGGGAGATGGAGACGAAGGGGGAAGAGAGGGGCGAGGGACCAAGTTGCCAATGTTGGCAATCCCGAATGTCCTCGAAGTACCAGGCTCTATACAATGTGCAAATACAGGTCGTTGCCTGAAGTACCAGAGCAGGGCAATGGCCCGAGTGTCCTCAAGTTCAGATCTGATCTCTCTCTCTCTCTCTCTCTCTCTCTCTCTCTCTCTCTCACTCCCCTGCGCACCAAACGCCGGAATTCCTCTCTCTCTCTCTCTCTCTGGTATACGACACCTTTCTTTACACTTGAAACGGGAATGAACCCCCCATGAAACAGGGGAAGATTCATTCCCTTCTCCCCTCTCTCTCTCTCTCTCTGTGTGTGTGTGGGGGGGGGGGGGG